GAAGAAAATAATCGACCTCCAAGGGTGGTAAACTAGGGGACAACTGAATTTTGAGGTCGTTTTTTTTAGTACTCTGTACTCAGGTTAGGTTATTAAACTCATGTGATTCCGTCTCATGAGGCTTCTGAGCGCTTTGATGTCCCGCGTTTGATGCAAATAGCATTCAAGAAGTTTCGGTCGTTTATGACCAAACTTGTTACATTTATTTATTAAAAAGTAAATGTTAAATCATTCTCAGAAACAACCATTGATAAACATATTGAGTCAGAGTATCACACTGTTGCTAAACATAGGTGATCGACGCGCAAAAATATTCATACCGCTTGTATCATACTTTACTGCAGGTATGGTTGGATGATGTAATGCAGTCATGAGTAAGAAGATTTTTAAATTGTTTCAAATTAAAGATTTATACGATTATCTCAACATGATCAACAAACCACTATACATCTTTAACTGCCACCGTTGCCGAACGGTTACCATTCTGGATTGCCACGCAGGTGTCCCGGGTTCAATTCCCGGGATGGGAGAAATATTTGTATGGCCTACATTTATTTATCTCGTGAGTTTGGGTGTCTCTAGTGCGGGGCACTGAGTGTGTGAGCGTTATATTGTTAAGCCGCCACAACTTCACGTTTTCCAAGGGTTATGAATCGTCTTCGACGTGCAAGTTTCTTCACGATGTTTCCTTCAGCATTAACGAGAGGTGAGCTACTAAACGTCACAAAGATTACGTAACTTTGAAATAAAAGTAAGTCATAGGGATCTGAACCGTCGACTTTTCAATTTAAAAGGAATGGCGAACGCAAAAGAAATCATTTTCATCATATGGGAGGCCGACGTTCCACCCCTATGTTGTGGATTTTCCAAGGATTCGCACGAAACGTTTCGCTTCCACATTTATTTGGCGAACGGTTATGGAGTGGACTTCCCTGCGTGCTGACTGGTTCCCTAAACGGTATAACTTGGACGTTTTCAAGGCGAGAGTAAGTAAGCATTATTTAAGTGTGTATGCTACATTCTCGATCTCATCGTCACTTTCCATCGCACTTATTTTTTAGTAATAAAAAAAATTCCAACCCCTACTACACTAATAAAGACAATATCCCAACAATAATAATGATTTATAATAAAAAAATAAATTACGGCAATTAAAAAAGCTAGCTGTTATTGAGTGACCTACAATTTATACTTTTTGTTTAAAGAAGAAACATAATTAATAAACAACTTAATATTGTTTTTACAGTGGTAATTATGTTTACTTATCGTGAGATTGTTACCGTAAAATTGTTTGTAAATGTGATGATTAACGTTTTCCTCGAATCCGTGAGAATCCTAAAGCTAATTTGAATACAAATCTCCATTTGAGTACATTATCTAATTTTGGGAATAAAAACTAGATAACTGAAGGTCAATTGGTTTATTAAAATCTTATCCTACAACTAATTATAGCAGCTTTATAAAATTAAGTGACTTTTCAGGTATTCTCGGATAAACTGTTCGAGATATTATTGTGAAATATTATTGAATACTCGAACACGTAAATAATATAACTTTAGTGTAAAGTTTTTGTTTCACAATAGTTTTAAACATCGTGAACATTGACTTACAATTATATGGACGTCGGGTCCGCGCTAAAAAGTGTGCGCACTTGTAAGGCGCTAAAATCGTATACAGAGCGCGACACTCCGCTTTAGTCTTCATTTGTTCTACGGACAGCGCGATACTGCGATGACATAACAATTTAAATTTCGAATAGGTTGACTTGGGACATTTTTTTCGTGGTTTTTGTATTAGACCCGTCGTCCATTTATTTGTAAGTCAATGATCGTGAATGACAAATTTTGAAATTCAATATACATCACATGACAACATACGCATCATTTTCGAGTCGATAATCTAAACTAAGTCAATAAAAAATAACACTGCTATTAATAACAAATTAAATTTGGATGCTGTTTTAAAAAAACTTCACAAGACAATTTTTTTTGTCAGCGTTATTGCACAAACCTACCCTAATTGCAGTTATCTGGCAAGGTGACAATTAGGCGCATGAGTGTGCCGCCCAATCTGTGCGTTACGTCATAAATAACAAAACGTGTGAACGTCACATGTTTGACATTCCGTAGTATAACATCCGAGACGAGCTAATGTGTCACTGTGTGTCAGACTGTACGTCGATATGTATTTTTGAAGATGTCAGTTGATGACGCCATGCTTTTATTAGGAGAATCAGACACCGACATTGCTCATTGATTCGTTCTGTTCTTGGAAAGAATTTCCAATAAATAAAGAAAGTTTCAACAAACTATAATTGCGAGTTGATAGCAAACTTATTGAGTATGTTGAGTGTGTGCGTTATTATTATTATTATTGGAATTAATTTAATTATATCGGACACTAATCAGTTATATTTCCCGAAAACCACAGGTCTTCGCTATTGAAGGCTAGAGTGAATAGGAGTTTTTCAGACAAATACATCGGCACTTATAAGTGCGGTTGTAGTCAAGCGTAAATCTGGTTTTAATTTTCTAATTGTCTTCAAAAAGGTTCACGATTAGTCTGCATTTTTACCGACATCAAAAAAAGGAGGAGGTTCTAAATTCGATTGTATTTTTTTTGTATCGGCATTTGAAAAACGATTTTGATGATTCTTTTTTTGTTGGAAAGAGGATACCTCACTTATAGTCCCATCTAAATTTGAAGAAAATATCCACCTAATAATAGTGGCAAATTAGGGGATGAATCCGGTTTAATAATATAATTTGGCAAATAGATGTAAATTCCACCCACGTTTAAGGTCGATTTTTTTAGTACTCTGTACTGAGATTATTTTGTTTTCTGTCAACTTCTTTTTTTAAATTCTTTATTTATGATATTACCTTGGATTCAAGTCCTTAGACCGAAATATTAGGTTGCTAACAGATTGACTGCATGTTTGAAGTTAATGCGTGAAATCGCGGTCTCGGATAACGATCAGTCTACTCTTTTAAAATTAAAAACTATTATCATACCAAGCCGATTTGCCCGCGGGCGGCCATGACTGCATTTTCGAGGTAAAAGATTTTATATGCATGCATGTAGGAATTTTGATATTATCATTATTTGTCTTACCACACTTTTACATATGTTTATTTACTTATTAATTATAATAATAGTCAATGTAATATTTAGCAGTATTTATATATTTTGCGTTTATTGCTGGAGTCGAGAGTATGTTACTGCAGTACATGCTTTTAAGTCCCGTGTTGGCATGACGCTGCAACACAGACCATACCAGACTATTTATTTTATATGTTTACTTTAATTTTAATTGCAAAATAATTATTTGTACATACAAAACTGTTTTCTGTGTTGTTGTATTATGCTAATGAAAATATGTCTATGTCTGTTAGCAGCCTTAGAGGTAATAAATATAGAAAGTAATATAAACAACTATCCATGTAGTTTATTTAAGTTGCCGCTAGATGGCGTTGAACCATATTGTGTATTTTCTAAATAAAAGAATAAAATACATGAACGTTTCATTTGGGTATTTTTGGAACGTTATACAACAAAAACACCAAGTCACTTTGTGAGAGAAATGTGTGAATAGTGTGAGTGTCGTGCGAGTAAAATGATGTACCTGACCCATACCGGTTTATTTGGGAAATGTGCCAGTGTTTGTGCTTTTCTCGATATGGGTCAATGACGGCACTTGTTTATACCGGGATTCAGTGCTACGTGTCATGTACGCGGAATATGGAGTTGATTCCAAAGTTTGAAATGATTCGAAGTCTCAAGTCACGAGCCTGATGTTAATATTTAGCTGTGTAATGAATTTTTATCACACATGCTCGTAAATAGCAGTATATAACCATGCAGCGAAACAGTGAATTAAGCGGTATTTTTATCATACGGCCATACGGTAACGATTTTTTAAATTCAGGAGCACCGACAAGTTGCCAGCTCGGCCAGTGGCCCCGCCGTCTCACGTCAATTTGTACAAAGCAATGGACTTTTTTATTTACTAAATTGAAACGATTTTTCTAGCTTTCCGTAGGTGTGATAAAATACATATAATAATAAATACTAAAAATACAATTGTATCACAACAACTACAAAATTTTCGGGCCATTGAATTTGTCGCATTGTTCGTAGTTGCCTATTTACCGCAATACAAGGGTCCACAATATAGTAAATTAATTATATTTAAGAACGTAGGTTTTGTAAGGATGGTTTTAAATAGTCTTACCAAGAGGTCATAAAGCAATGTTTGAAGAATTTTACAATAGTTTTCATTGGCTCCTCGGTTCACACAAACGTAAATTTGTTGGCAATATGCAATATTCTTATATTGAACACACAATAAGTAAAAAACTCAGTTAGGACCTCAAATATTTAGTAGCAGTAGAGCAGTGAAGTACGGCCAACTTACTTATTTCTGCCGACACGCAGTAATGTGAGCTTTACTATGTTTTGCGAATTTATAGGCATATGGGACTTATCAACTTATGTCTCAGGGTGACAGGTGCAGTGGCAGTCTTCGGGATCTTTGCGATTTAAAGATCTGAGTGGCATTGCAACTGTTATGGGATGGTGTGTCGCTTACCATCAGGCGCACGATTTGTTCGTCGTGTGAACGTACTCTAAACATCGTGGTCGATTTTATAATTATTTTAGTGTATATGTCTCAATATTGTATAATTCCTTTTTTATCTGTTATTCGCTTTCTGTGGCTCTTGGTGTAAACATCAAACATTTTATTACCACTGCATAAACTTATACTTATTTCAATATTTCCAAATGGATATTATTTAATAAATGAATGAACGAATGAATGAATGAATGAATGAATGAATGAATGAATGAATGAACGAACGAACTAATGAGAATGAATGAATGAATGAACGAATGAACTAACGAACGAGTGAATGAATTAATGCATGCATGAATGAATGAATGAACGAGTTATTGAATGAATGGGTGAATGGATGAGCGAACGAACGAGTGGTACTGACCGTCCATGGAGCGCGAGGAGAGCTTGCGGTGGCTGAGCGTGCGCGAGAAGAGCGGCGGCGCGCGCGTGGGCGGCGCGGCGCGCGACTCGTAGTGCGTGCGCCCCGAGTAGCGGAAGCGCGAGCCCAGGCGCGGGAACAGCCCGCTGCGCTGCGCCGGCGAGGGCGACATCAGCCTGCGAACGTCCGCAAGTTGTAGCTCCCTCTAATTGTGAAGGCACCAGCCACGCGTCGGAGACAGCAGTAGAGCTCCGTGTGCAAGAGTTAGTACTGCCACCTTACCTATTTCGCCCGCCAAGCAGCAATGTCAGCGTTCCTGTGTTCCGGTTTTGAAGAGTAAGAGTGCCGGTGAAATTACAGGCACACGGGACTTGTCAACTTATGTCTCGGGATGACGGGAGCAGTGATCTTTGCGATTTAAATCTCTGAGTGACACTGTAACTGTTATGGGTTGGCGAGTCGCTTGCCATCGGGCGCACGACATGTTCGTCCCGTCACTTAATATTATAAAACAAAAAAGATAGCACTAAGGTAGTGCCCCTTGAAGGAGACCTGCGGTCAAGTGGTCTAAACAGGATAGACTGTTTACAAAATTTTTATATTGTAGTTCCAAACAATACCTCACTGGTATTTGTAGCAAGTGTATGAATAAATATTAAATAAAAACGACATGCTACCATGTATTACACAACTTGATCAACATTAATCATATATTTCTCAAGTATGTACGACACAGGAATGTTTTTGGACCATTTAATAACAATGGAATATTTTAAATTTTCCACTAATAAGTTAAATGTCACACTCAATATCAAAAGGTTTAAGAGTCTATACTACCTCAAATGGCTTTGGTTGATTTCGCATAACAGTGAAAGTGTTGAATAAATCACTTTGGAAAAAATATATAGTAAAATAGAGGATATACACTAATTAGTATACGGTGTGAAAACATAATTTCTAAAAATTTCCTCAATAGAAAAAGAACACAAACTTACCTCGAAATTTTACAAAAAAACCGCTGTATTCAATAAGTACTTTACATGTACCAATGATTTTTTTCTTTATACCAATTGAATTAATTAGAACACATAGCATACGGTATACATTTTTGAAATGAGTCTGATTTCGTTTGTAAAAAAAATAAATTCTGAAATAAATCCCTGTCTCTCGGCCGGCGCGATACAACCGATTCAGTACAGGAAAAATTTTAAATCGAGCTGAGATAGTGTCGACTCTAGTTTATTAATTAGTAATCCATTATAGTAGTAATGAATGTCACAATTTTGTCAAAAATGAATTATTTACGTCAAAACATAAAAAACCCAGAAACAAATTCTGTACGTTATATATTAAAAAGAAAAATTTTGTATCCTAGCATGACTTACAGAACTCGGGAAAAGAATGTTCCTAATTGATAAAATATTTCCATTATTATTGTCCAGGTTTTTAATTTCCCGGTATGTCATTATGGAGATTTGTAAGAATGTTCAGTTTATACCTGAAGAATGTGTGATGTTCGACACAGGTCTTCCATAACTTTTTCGCAGCTCGGTGATTAGCCAACTTGAACCCGACCGTGGACTCGAATTGCTCGAACTCGCCCGGACGCAGTTTCACGTAGAAATTGTGACGCTTGTAGCTGATCTTCAAGATCTTCGGCCACGCGAAGCGATTGATGCGGAGTCTGGGAAAATAAAACGATGCTAGGCGTCACACAAATAAATATATACCATCAGGGTAGGCAGAAACCGTAGCCTTCCACATGTCAACTTTCCGTTACTGACAACAACGTTAAGTTCGGTTATATAGAGAAGACGAATAAGAGAAGATTGCCGAAACAGTTTTAGCTTAGTTTATTTCTCTCAACATTACAAATTCCATACAAGTACAATTACATATTTAATACTACTCTTCAAAAAGGGAGCGTCAGTTTACAAAATAATGAGAAATAATTATATAACAGCGAGTCATAAGTACACAATAGTGTACATATACAGATCAAGATAATTTTGTGAAACCTAATTGAATTAAACTAACAGTGTCAGGTGTACAAATAGTACAGGAAATGGCAATATGTATTCTTAATAAGTAATAAATGTAAATTAAATTATAATAATGTGGTAAATTATTATATAATATAAACAAATGGCATAATATTATATACTTTTATAAGTGAGTGTGAGCACGATATCATGACCAAATTGCGGACAAAAAATCCGACAAAAAAATTGCGGGCTTAGTTCCATGCCGGGAGAAATAAATGTTTGTGTGGCCTACATTTATTTCTCTAGTGAGTTTGAGTGTGATTTGTGATTGTCTATGTGTGTGTCCATGGCACCCGCGACACAGGGTTTTCCTAGTGCGGGGCTATGTTGAAAGTGTGCGTTATTATTATTATAAAACTCTAAGCATTCGCATTTGCAACATACATCCGCACATTATTATAAATTATCCTGTTACTTTAGTCTATTAAAAAAATAAACAACTCAAGCAATTTGGACGTCTGCGTTACTTCAAAAACTTTTACCGTCCGTCATTCAAGCGTGCCTGCTCTTCAAATACTACATAAATTTAGACAGCAGGTATCAAAATTAAATTCATAACAGTCAAAATGACTTCTATTAATACTATCTTGAAATTTCTGTATACAGAGAAATATGTACTAAGAGTTTTCTTAAATCGTATCTCTTCAACACTCTATTAATTAAAAAAAATAATTTCGCTTTGTCTCATTAAGTAACATTGGAAAGAACAAAGTCCTACTTAGCACAACGAGTTTGTTTTAGAAAATCCTGTCGCCCTCTCGTTGGTCTCAGTTATCTTTTCCTTCCTTCAATTCCGGTTTTTATTCTCAGTCCTTCATTGTTCATGCGGTCAGACTTTGAAACGCACTTCCTATTACATCATTAGCTACTTTTAAATTCAGAGTTGAGGAGCATTATTTATCTACTGTACCATCCATTTTATAGGTATTGTAGTTTGAAATATGTATTTATCTAGTTTATAATAGTTTAATGTTATTAATATTGTTTTACATAATTTTGTTTTTTGTGTACGTAATCCCGTTATGTATTCTGTAATGTGCAATAAACAATAATATTAAAAAAAAAGATCTTGACATGACAGATTTTTTTTTTCAACGTCGAGAACGTAGACAGGTATACTATGATCAAATTGCCATAGCAGTAATAATAAATAGCAGTCTTTGTAATACTTACTTTTCCCTATGCACCAATATGCCAGAGGAGCAAACGCCAAGTGTGATGTCCACATCTTCGGAGTCCTTGGCGGGGTGGAAGTCCACTCCGTACATGGCCAACTTCTTTGCGTTCTCCAGATAGTTAAGTTCTGCTTCTGCTGGGGTTTGACCTCTGGAAAAAGAACTTGTTGATTAATGGAAAACGAGGAATTGAAAATCACAGTATTATGTACGATATAATGATATATTACCTAAATTTTTTTTTATAATATCAAGTGACGGGACGAACAAGTCGTGCGCCTGATGGTAAGCTACACGCCTGTCCATAACAGTTGCAGGTACCATTAAGAGGGGCACTGCCACTGCGCTCTTCACCCTGAGACATAAGTTGACAAGTCCCATGTGCCTGTATTCGTACCCTTCAAAACCGGAAAACAGTAATGCTGACATTACTGCTCGGCGGCGGAAATAGTTAAGGTGACAGTACTTCCCTGGACGAACTCTTTCACAAGGAGTTAAAACAGCAGTTTTGCTGCCTCACTGCCCGCTTCGAAGAGGAGAGTTTATGCCACCAATGCGACACAACTTCGAAAACTTTTTGAAGTAGAATTTTTTAACATTTTAAATGTTGGCTTTGAGTAAAAGTGGTTGGAAATCGCCAAAGACATGAAGCTGTGGAAGGTTTTGGGGGAGCCCCTTGCTCAGTAGAGGGACACAATAGGTTAATAAAAAAATAAAAACATTTATTTAGTATATATAAAAAACAGGTTACACCAACTCAATCATAGTTAAAAATCGAGTTTCCAACCCCAATATTAAGTAGGAGACATGTCTCTCTCCCACAACGAGTCGACGCTATGTTTTCCTTTACAATTAAAACAATTGATAATTAAGAAGGCGAACTGTACGTCATTCGACAATTCGAAAAAACACGACTGTGCGGACCTTCCCTTCTGGCGTTACCAGTGTTAAATAACAGTAGAACTCACCTATGCGTCTTATGCAGTTCAAGGACCTTCTCCTCGAGTTCCGGCGTGCAGGAGGCGGGGGGCACCAGCTTGAGCTGCTTGCACAGCCCCGCGCCTACCTCCGACTCCTCATAGTCACCCAACTCCGACTGCAGCAGGTAGCTGGCCAGGAGAGCGTGTGTCACCGTGGAGCAGGGCAGGCGGCCTGATAAATTAAAAGCACATAGTGTTGATAAAGGACAGAACGATATCATTGTCATTATTAGAGGTTTTCAATCGGGCTATAAAATACCTCGTCTATCACTTCAGGACAAAGAATCTCAGAATTCCAAGAGATATTTACCTTCCAGCAGATCTTTGCGTATGGCGAGTACAAGCTGGTACCTGGTGAGCTCCTCCTGCAGTTGCGCCGGCTCTGGTGGGTAAAACTTCACCGCGAACCGTACCTCCCATGGGTCGTCTGGAAAATATACCACGGATAATTTAATATGACAGAACATAGATCCGTTCTTTAAAAATATCTCTGGAAATTTCTGCTCACGCTATACTACTAACTTTCGAGTCTCAAGGCATTCTGCTATATTAAGAATTTTCATATATATTCACATAACAAGGACACCTGGAAAATGATGGGCAATGCTGTCGGTGATGTTCCTTCATCTGGTTAGACCTGACTAAAAAAATTACACTCACGTTTGAGCAACTTGGTGACGCGCTTCTCGAGGTCGATCCAGCAACGCGGATCGCCGCGGTCCTCGTACAGCAACCCGAAATAATCCTTTTCCACGAGGTTCAAGCTGTCGCAAACTTTGCCCAACAGCTCATGACCGCGGATTTTTCTCTGCAATTCCAAAGAAATAAAAATTAGGACACTGTAACTGGTTATGATTATTCCCTCAGAAAGGATGTTAGATGTATTTAGTCAACCCATACGGATTGAAGAATATTCAAAGAGTTACTTATTAAATCTGTGACAGAGATTATACCACACCAATCAACAGATGGCATCATATCTTAAGATCGCATTCTACAACATTGAAAACACGACTGAGGATGACATACAAATTAAGCCTTGTTTTTAGCGTGTCGATTGTTTTTATGTAAACTTTATATATTTACAATTAATGTATAGAAAGGAAAGTGACCTATCCGACATAGAGTGAACACGGAATTGTAAACAGTCGAGAAATAGCAAGCACGGCTTGCATATTCGTATAATTGTGGTTGATAGGCCCAAGGATAAGGGCAGGATGTGTTCGAATCTATTTCTAGACATATGAGATACTAACATCAGCTTCAAAGTCCAAATATGACCCGTCGAGCAGTTCGACCTTGATCCGGACGAGGTTGCCGGTGATAGGGCGGCGGCGCGGTGAGGCCAACTTGCCGGACCGCGTGTCCTCTTTACTTTCCTTGGCCACGCTCTCCGGCATGGTGCCGCGTGACCTTTACTTCCTGAAAACAACGAGAATAAGTGCTATAGTACCTTTTAAGGATACTATCAGTGGTACATATTGTTCGGAAATACATAAAAAGTGTAAAATTTTTCATTCTATAGGTGTTTCTTCTTCAGGAAAACTGAGAATATATGTAAATAATAGGGGGTATGGCGTCTATTCTAAACAGATAACCACACACTACAATAAAAGTGATTTAAAGGTAACCAACACTTATAATTCAAAAACAGCATGACCACATTGATTGTGTTTAAACACATTGATGACATCCTAATTAAGATTAGCCTAAACTTAATTAGGATACCATCATCCACCTTTCACGTAAGCGAGGTCCTAACGTATTTAAGTTACAATTTCTGGTTAAATCGGCTAATGTAAAGAAAAAACCCGTAAAGAAATCTAACCAAACAATGCACTGCACCCGAATGAACGGCGCCTTGAAACCCTGAGGGGCGCCCTTCATAGACAATGGGCCGCAACAGGTGCTGCGATGACTGAAAGGACAATGGTGTGTAAATCAAGCGGCGACGTGAGAACTTCACTGTTTTATAACTGTACATAGTTTGTTGTAGGAAATCTTTGAATAGATGATTTGTAGTAAGAGGTTTTTCATATGCCATACAATTGCAGCAAGGAAAATTTATATTTTGAATATATTTTGAAACTGTTGGACATTTGCGCTGACGACATGGAATGAAGCAACAACCGAACGGTGACCAGCGAAGAAGTCGAACTGTGGTTGATAATGATGATAGTGGTGATAGTGGTGAACTTAGGTTCTCTCTCTCTCTCTCTAGTAGACTCCTAAGAGTCTACTAGATCATAGTTCATAGTTTACTACGCTAATGAAATGTCAATATGTATAAGGGAGTATTGTGATCTTACTTCGATATGTATTTACTTTGCAATATCTTCTTCAACAGTAATCTGGATTCGAAAAGAAGATGGCGCAGTCTTGATCTGTACTTAACTCATGTTTGTGTGTATCACGGGACCCTTCAAGGAAGTAATTAACACTAGCTGAATACTTAGTTTTGTGTCTTCTGTTTTCTTGGGCGAACACATTTTAAAAAATTGTACATAAATAAAAAAGATTCTACCCACAAGTTACACTACACTACTTTGACACATTTCACTCGAAGACAACTTCATGTAAAATTCGTTTTGTTATAGACCCTAAAAAGATGGCGCCGCCAAAGCATTCGATGTACGTGCTGGCGACATGGTTCTTATCTAACCTATGCTAGCATAATATCTTTTTTTTGGAGCTGGCCCGATTTGTTTGATTTGTATTTCCCGTTGGTGATCAATTTGTTCCAATTAGAGTCTGTAAGCGCCGAGGTCGCTCAAGATTCAGGATACGTTACATCATGGGTGGGTGGTCAAGTACAGGAATAGCCTTGTTGCCTTGCTACTTGGGGTCGCTAATTTAAGTTATTGTCGTTTTTATTGTGTTATGAATGTTTGCGTTGAGAGTACAAGGTTTCTCATTAGATCCAAACAAGACTATCACTTCTGAAACATATCGACAGCTAAACAGTGAGGTATTTCAGAAACACCTAATTCTTCAAAGCTGACAAATCTTTTCCCGGTTCAATGTTGTCATGTGATTGTCTAAGGAAAGACTCGGTGTGTCGGTAACAATAAAATTTAGCTCATTCTGAAGATAGCTATGAAAAAATACATAAAAATTAAGTATTTTAGTTTGGGCCACTATTTTTAATAAGCAGCGATACGTTTAATACAATCTCTATTTCTTTAATACACAAAAACAAATAACCAACAGATAATCGACAACGGAACGCCCGTATTATCTGTCGGAGAGAAATTTGCGATTAAGTTCAAGCTTAAAATGCAGGTCTTGCTAAACATACTTGACACCGTTTAGGTATAACAATTATAATGTCGAGATTTTACTCACCAATTATCGTACGAAATAGACTCAGTAAGTCACCCAATGGACAATGATGTAAGGATTCCGAATGGGTGACCTCGGCGCCGGGCGGCCTTAATTCAAGCAATTGACGCCGGTTACTGGCAAGGCTCTAATGGAGACAAGACAGATAGTGACACTATAGGAATCAGAATGTATAGTGCTTCTGACAAATTATAACAACCGTACGTTAAATCATTAGATTAAAAAAAATTAAGACTATAAACTCTACTCTCCTGATATAACTAACTTAATTGAGTTACTAACATATTTGGGATCAGTGAAACGGGATTTACAACCCCCTTCAATCAGTTTTTCAATATCTTATAGAGTTTCAATTTTATTGTAAAGCCAAAACAGCGTAATTGACACTTTTTAGGGGACAATAAAACTATAGGTGCCAATCTCTCGGAAGTTACCGAAATGCAAATGCATTAGAATTGTGACAAAAAAAACAGATCATGATTCAGAAATTTCTGGTAAATACATAGCACATTATGGCACGAGGAATCTCAACACTAACAGGAACTTCAACTTTTTCAACAATCCAGTCGTCTTGTGAATGCTAACAAATCATAATTATATAAATACTACCCGCAGCGGCAAATACGAGGCGCATATCATTCGCTTCCGTCACGACAATGGAGAAACCAAACGAGCGTTTGATTGCTCTCAATTATTCGAGAAATTTGTATGTTTTTGTATAGACAACAGAGAAATCGCTAGTTTAGAGATGTTACAACGTAATGAAAGCTACATTGAAATTTGCTGGTGAATGTACCGGATGCCATGCCGTGATGATGCCTGAATGGTCTATGCCGATTTATGGCAGTATCCTGATAAATAAACGCCGAATAGTGAATGATACTGCAGTCCATTGCAGTAGGAAATTTAATCTAATTAATCTCTTGGCTCCAATAGAGAGAACAAAAGAGAAGCGACTGATTTGCAGTGCCGCTCAGGGCCTTAAATCGCAAAGATCTGAGAGACCGTCACCATGAGATATAAGTTGAAAAGTCTCATGTGCTTCTAATTTCACCAGCTCCTTCACCCTTCAAAACCGAAACGCAGTAATCCTCACATCACTGTTTGGCAACAGAAATAGATAAAGTGGCAGTACATTCCTGGGCGAAATCTTTCACGAAGAGCTCTCTACTAAGATATTGGGATAAACCAATCACGTCGCTGTAGTAAATTCAAACCAAGCAATGAAATACCTACTCTATTCATAACGTGCATAGACTGTGAATCTGATCTTAGGTATAAGTGCTTTCCCGCAATATAACGTGAGAATATTTTTTTTACACAGCGAGAGTGAGAAATATGGACTAAGTAATTGCGTAAATGTTTGCAATTCACTTAGCAACACGTTCTATCGATTTATTACACTTTGTTTGAACATTAAATGAATTCAAAAGTTTCTGTTCGCAAGTTACTTTATAATAAACCTCAATTAAATCTGATATACCAAAATTTAGACTAAAACGATTGGCTTTCAGCCAGACTGAGTCATCGTGAGGTACACTCGAGTGAAACATTTCCTGACCTTACGATGATTTACGGATGAGAAGATATTGATGCTTTGATGTGGAAATGTAACTATATCGATTGATGTTTTAAGCATGGTCATTGAAATGAGAAAAGTGCAGATGGAAACAATATAGGGGAGCCTGAACTTGAGATTGGTGTGCACTGCTCACTTTACTACTTGGTGGAAGAAGTAGGTACAGTACTTCCCTGGACGAACTCTTCCACAATGAGCTCTACTGCTACTACAGCAGTTTTTTCCCTACATTTAGCGGGAGTTTCTTCCATTTAGGTACAATTAATTTTATTAATACACGAATTAATAATTCATGATTTGATCAAATATTTTTATTTGTTTGATCAGAATTTGACCCTCAATCGGACTAGTATCAAAGACCAGGGCACCATGACGTAATTTGTACAATAATTATAAAGGATAGGTATCAATGTTGTGCAGCGATCGAGATATGTAACCGAGCGACCCTGACCGCCATGACATCATGGTGGCACTTACGTAAACTAGACTGTCGTTTAATGTTCGCGTTTGGGTGGATGTAGTGTTACGCGTAATCTTGGTAATAACCTGATGATAAAGGTGCTAAATTCATTTATCTAGTTATTTTATCCCGCGTCTCTGGATTAGCAATGGACTTATTTTTAACCGACTTTAAGAAAGGAGGAGGTTCTCAATTCGAGTCTATGTTTTTTTCTTTTTTTTTGTATGTTACGCGATAACTCCGGTATTTGTGAACCGATTTTCATGATTCTTTTTTTTTTTTTTTGTTGGAAAGAGGGGGTACCTCCATAGTGGACCCATTTCATTTTGAAGAAAATCATCCAGCTCTAAGGGTGGCTGTGCACGCATGAAGATTCATTTTTACAAATAGCGCCTAAATTTTATTATAAGAAGCAATTATTTTAATGGTTGATTTTTCTATTCTCCAATTCAAGGCGTTTTCCTCTCTCAATATACTTTGAGTAGTGAGAACCGATTTTATTATCTCCTGTGTCAAGTCCTGTATAGTGGCGAACTAGGGTATATTTCAATAAAACTTGGCAAATAGACGTATTTTCACGTACTTTTGAGGTCGGTGTTTTTAGTACTCTGTACTGAGATTATTCCGGATTTAAATCGCGTGTATTTAATTTTTCAAACAAACCGACGTTTCGGACCCTTTACAGGTCCCATGGTCACGATTGACTGAGGTGGTACAGTCATCAACCTCTCTGATATTAATGCAAACCACCCTATTTTTTCACTATAATTACAAAAGTTATTAATTAAACCTTATTTTCATTTTACAAAGAAAACATCCCAATTTACGCTAAATTAAGTTTTACAAATTATTTTATAGAATGAATTTTTGTTAAGTTCAATTTATTAGTAATTAATTAATGCTAGAAATTAGAATAAATTAAAACTCGGTTTGTTCGAAAAAACAAACATACGCGATTTAAATCCGGAAAAATAGTTTGATTTCCTAAGTATATTTGTTAAGTAGTACTAAGTACTTACATACTTTGTTATGATTATGAAT